TTATTATCTTAGTTCTCTAGGTAAACTACCCCCCATTTTTCATTAAGTGCTTTGATATCAATCATTCCCTTCCACTTCTTAAACTCTGTATAACACCCTACCACTTCCGTTTCTCAGGCTCGTCTAGGTCTGGCCCACATTCTGCTCCGTCTCCCAGGGCAGGGGAATGTCTGGGATTTCAAGTGTACACCTAAAAGCTCTATGCTCCAGGTGGATTTTTATCCAGCTTCTGGAAAAGCCCACCTTTCTTGCAAGGATTTTGTTTTGTTTTAGTTAATTAGGGTTTTTAAAAGAATTCGGAGCAGGATATCTGAACTTTTTCTGCAGTGTTACCATTAACCACCCAAAACTCACCACGGATCTGGAAGCTGTTCACTTCTTGCACCTCCTGTTTCACAGCCCAGTGCCAAACCAACCTACTCTCTCCCTTTAATTTGTCCAGTACCCTCCTAACTGATGACCTCACTTCCAGCATTCTTCAGATGCTCTCCGAGTGGTTTTCCAAAAGCCCAAATCTAACTAGATGACTCTGTGGCTTACACCCTATCTTGAGTATCTTCCCATTGTTCAACGGATACAAACTGAAATGTGAATAAAACCAATGGAGCCATCTATGCCCTGGCCCTGTCCTGCCCCTCGCCTCATTTTCTGCCATTCTCCTCTTGGCTTGTGGAGTTCCAGCCCAATTACCTATCCTCGAAATAGAAACGTACAAGTTCCCACTCTCTTTAGGTTCTTAAACATACTATTCTCTCTGTCCATAAAGTTCTCATTGATTTTGTAGCCTTTTCCTTTCTAAAGTAGGCTTTAAGGTCAATAAGGACAGAGACTTTGCTTTTCTCATCCCAATTAATTCATATTAATTCATTAATTCATAGTAGCATAGTGCCATGCAGTCTAGATGTTCAGTTTTTATGCCGTGAGTGACTGACTGCTGGGAGGGACGGCCCTCTGCCACCGCTGGTGCTTTCCGTTCTCCACTCGGTCATTGCAGGAGCTGTCTTCTGGTTCTGCTCGTGCTGTTTTCCCTCACAACCCGCCCTCTCTGCTGCTAGTGCCGTGACCTTTCTAACCGTGAATGAATCTGATGCCACCCCCTTATCCAGGATTGCTCAGTGGCTTCCTAACCGAAGGCTAAGAGCCTTCAGCTTGCCATACCAGGGCCACTCCTGGTCTGGTGCCCCGAGCCTGCCCTGTTGTTGCATGTGGCTGCCTCACCTCCAGTGACACAGAAGGCTAAAGCAAGAGATCAGGAGAAACATTGAAATGAAACATGTGAAAATATTCAGAAGCCCGTGAAGCTGATTTCTTGGTTGGCATACTGAACTCTCAGGGCCCTTCTTGGTATTGATTTAAGTGACGTATGGAGAGCGCCGAGCTGAAAGGGACCGGGAACGCCGGACGGATAATGTCAGAAAGAGCGGAGAGCTGACCTCCAATCCAGCTGGCTTCAGAAGTTCACTTTTTAAATCCCTCTGTGCCAAATATGTAGCTGTGATGGATAAAATAAACAAATGGAAAACCAAAGAGACAAAACTAGGCTCTGGAAAGATAGATAGCTCTGTGGACAGGTAGTGGACTAGAAATGCAATAATTTGGGCTGAAATCACCAGCTGCTTCCAGAAGCAGGCTTTGGCCCCTGTGAGCATAAAGGACTTAAACCAAATCATGAATGAAGCTTCAAGCCAGGAACTCCCTCAGTTCCTGGGTGGACGTTGACAAGGTACCAGCACATTGTTACTTGGTTAACATCGAGGTTGGGTTATTAAAGGAGGAAAGCAAATGGATATTAACTATGTGACTGGCAATGCTTACGATAACAAAATAATGAAAATGAGTTGCATTCAACCTAACAACCCAAAAACAAAACAAAGAAAAAGAGAGAATAGAGGCGAAACCTATAGAACGTGGAAAAATAACAGCAGAAATTAGTGAAATAGAAAGCAATAAAATAATAAGATCAAAACCAAAGTGTTTTTTTTCAAATCTGGTAAGGTATATATTTCTAGCAAAACTGATCAAGAAAGACATGAAAAGTAATATTAGAGAAGGCACAAATAAACAATATTTAAAGGGATTATAGTAACTGATGTAATTGAGAGGGTGTTTGTTTGTTTGTTTGTAGAGAGGAGAGTGAGAGAGAAACATCAGTTTGTTGTTCTACTTATTTATGCATTCATTGGCTGATTCTTGTATGTGCCCTGACTGGGGATTGAACCTGCAACCTTGACACACTGGGATGACGCTCTAACCAACTGCACACCGGCTAGGGTGACAGAGTTTTCAAGCTAAAGAGAACAGTGTAAAGAACTTCCTACCAATAAATTTAATGACTTAGGTGAAATAGATACTTATTTTAAAATTCTAAGTTGTCAAAAGTAACTCAGGAAGAAATACAATTACATAGCAACTATTATAAAAAGTGAATTTATAATTACAAATATTCCTTCCTTCACCTTGTTCCTCCTCTACACCTTCATCCCCTGCCTTCTGACTCCAGGAGGGGAATGTCCTGAGACACAGGCCCTGATAATTACAGAAGAGACTTTTCTTCGAACTTCAAGAGTCCTTTAACTATTTTCAAAGAGTTGGAGAAAGTTATTTAACCCAGTTTTTAAGTCTTGTATTATATATTGCTGCTAAGAGCCAACCAGAACAGTATATAAAAAGAAAATTATAGTCCTATCTCACGTGTAGACACAAATGTGAAACAATCTATTAGCAAATCTAGTTCAGAGTCTGTGTATTGGTCTGTTTATCTACCTACGTACCAATCGATCGACATCCATCCTTCCATCCATTTATCGGTTTATCCAGAGTTTACCCCAGGAATGCAAGCATAGTTCAAAACCAGAAAATATATAACATTTCGGGTATCGCTGGTATGGTTATACAATAGATAGATTAAAAAACATCTGATAAGGTCAGATCGTGGTGATTTGGGGGACATGAGGGAGGGGTAGTAAAGTCAGGACACAATCCATAGTAGACTTCAGTTATATCCACATTAATTACCTCTTAGTAAAATAAGGTTACATTAAGATTATACAAAGTTGATTGTGTACATATACATCATGATATTCCCTACATAATTTAATGGATGCTTGTAATATCTCATAATAAATACCAAACCAAAAATAAAAATGAAAAGTAGCGTGCAGGCGTAGGAGTGAGCGAAGGACCAAGTCTTAGGAGAATTTTGGTGTATGCCTTAGTGAAAGAACGGTTGGGAAAAGAAATTTTAAGAAGAATCATGCTTTAGGAATATAGTTTTTCTAATGACCTCCTGTTTATTGATATTTTAATAACGATTTAAAATGGTTTTCTATTATGTTTTGAGTATCATGATGGTATTTCTTCTGAGTGTGAAATTATGTTGAGCTTTGCCCTGGTCATAAGTACTTCTTCAAATGCTTGGTTGCTCATTCAGATTCATCCAGACAAAATGCTTGTCCTTTGCATTCTCATACCGCCCACCCCTCCCAGTCCCTGGAAGATTCCTGCCTATCCTCTGAGTCTTCAATTCAGCCCTTCTTCCTTTGTGAATGGGCTCTCCATTTTTCAGGTACCAGTGAGCTTCCTGAGGACCTGCACTACTTATTTTTACGTCTGCAGTTCCCTGCTCAAAGTAGCTGCTCAATAAATATTTGCAAATTAGTGGGCAAAGTAACAAATAAATTGATGAGCAATCTTTTCTAAAAAGAGACTTATTGAGGTACAATTTATAGTTTTAAAAAATCCATCTTTTTGAAATGTAGAATTGATTCTTAGTATATTTGGAGTTGTGCAGATATAAGCATGATCTGACTTTGTAACCCTTTTATCACCTTGAAACACTGGTACTCATTAGCCATCCTTAACCACGCCACTCCTGTCCCACCTCTAGGCAATCTCTAATCTACTCTCTGGATCTTTTATGTCAATGGAATCATACCATGTGTGATTCTTTGTAAGGACCTTTTCCTTAGTATAATGTTTTCAAGATCACCCATGTTGCAGCATGGATTCAGTTTTTATTACTGAATAATATTTTGTTGGACAGCTGTCCCACATTTTGTTTATCCTTCCATCCACTGATGGACATTTGAGTTGTTTTCTTGCCTATTGTGAATAGTGCTGCTGTGAACATTCAGGTACAAGTTTTTGTGTCTGCATGTCTTTTCATTTTTCTTGGGTAGATACCTAGAAGTGCAGTTGTTGGGCCCCACGGTAACTCTCTGTTTAACCTTTTGAGGAACTGCCAAACTTTTCCAAAGTGGTTATCCCATTTGACATCCCACCAGCAATGCACGAGGGGTTCAGTTTCCGTCCATCCCCAACAACACATGTTATTTATCGCTCGTCCTGTTTATCACAACCATCCCAGTGGGTGTGAAGTTGTGTCTCATAGTGGTTTTGATTTACGTTTTCCTGACGATCAGGGATGTTGAGCATCTTTTAATGTGGGTATTGGCCATGCATATATCTTTGAAGAATTCTCTACTCAAATTCTTTGCCCATTTTTCCAGGTGGATTCTCTTACTATTGAGTTGTAAGATATACTGTGGATACAATCCCTTATTAGATGTATGACTGACAGTATTTTCTCTCCGCCCATGTATTACCTTTACCTTCTTGATATTGTCACTTGAAGTGCAAACATTTTTAATATTGATGAAGTCCCGTTAAAAAATATCTTAAAATTACTTGTGCTTTTGGTACCATATCTAAGAAATCATTGCCTGACCAAAAATCATGAAGATAAGCATCCATATTTCTTTCTGCAAGTTCTTCGGTTTTGGCTCTTATATTCAGGGCCATGATCCATTTTGAGTTGAATTTCTGCAAGGTCAGAGGTCAAAGTCCAAATACATTCCTTTGTATGTGATAACCAGGTGTCCCAATACCATGTTGTGAAAAGACTGTTCTTTCCTGAATGAGTAATATTGAATGTTTTTCTAATCATATGTCTTTTTCTACTGACATTCTTTTAAGTTGTATGCTTACGTTTTGATTTTCAGGTTGCTTATCAAGCGTCCCACAAATGAAAAAAATTTCCACATCGTACGAGGAAAGAAGGAAACAGGCTACCGCTATTGTTTTACTGGGAGTGATAGGAGCTGAATTTGGTGCCGAAATCGAACCTCCTAAACTGTTGACCAGACCGCGAAGCTCTAGTCAAATTCCCGAGGGATTTGGTTTGACCAGTGGTGGATCCAACTACTCCTTGGCCAGACATACTTGTAAGTTTTAAAGTTCCTAATGCTGATGTATTGCTTCTCGATGCATGTTATTTGTTCACAAAATTCAAGAATATTGAACATATCCTGAGTTGCAACTCCAATAGAACGTTCAAATGAAGTTAGAAAGCAGTACAATTTCTCTGGCTCATCACACTGTGTCATAGTTACCCAGACCTCTTTTTAAAAGTTGAAATGTGGTTTTTAAATGCTTTTCTTAAAGTAACACATGTCTGAGATTTGTGTTTTCAGAGTTTGGTCAAGATTTTAGCCAAAACTTGTGAAAGCTAGCTTTACGATAAAACTTTTAACTTATAAAATAGTTTCTGAAAAACTATGCAACTTGTCCAGAACATGATTTGAAAAGTCAGAGGTGGAGCTGGACCACCAATTTTTTCTTAAAAAAAAAAAAAATATATATATATATACATTTTAAACATCATAAGTGAGGAAGTGCGAATACCTCTATTTTAAAAAGATTCCAATACCAGTTTTAAAATTATGAAAAATTACAACCAGAGCTCAAAGGGCTGGTGCCACATTGCTTTGGTTCTGCAGTTGGTGTGTTAACTGTAGGTGAGGCTATTTTACTTATGGTGTCTTCTGGTCCTTCAGTGCCGGCACTTCTTTACATAAGATCAACATGTTTCTGCCATATTGCAACATCATTTCTAACACTGTGTATCATCTTGAGAACCAAATATAATCCTACGAAGTATTGATACATCACAAGATATTCTTTGTAGAACAAATTGCAATGTGTTCTTTTGGGTTTTTCACCCTTTAGCAAAGGAAAAAGATATACTATGTTACTTTGGTAGCTGTAACAGCAAAGAACTTCATTGGATCATTGTCACATATTTTTTACTGTGAAACCAAGGAGCTATATTAGAGGCTTTTATTTTATTTTATTTTTTTCTGGAGAGGGCTTTATTATTAAAGCCCTGGTATAGACTTAGCTGCCCCACCCCCACGCCACCTTTGGCTCATAATGCAACAAATATTTATTGGTGTTGGTAATCTCTTGATCTCTATTTGACACTGAGAATCAGGGAGTAATCACACCAACAACAAGAACAACAATAATGAAGGTACTAATTCTTTTGAGCACAATTATAAGCTCTTTCCATGCATTAACTCACGCAAGCCTCGTCCTCACCTTTGACAGCGGGCATCTCAGTTATCTCCGCTTTCCGGGTTAGGCAGCGGGGCGCAGAGAGGGCGCAGAGAGGCCTGGCCGCCTGGCTGAGTTCACGGCTCTGGGAAATGCAGGTGTGGGCCGAGCACCATCTGTGGGTTCCACAGCTCGTGCTTTTGACCATTATGCACATGGGACCGACAGGTATGGCTCCACGGCCACAGACTTGGCGTTAGGAAACGGGAGGTTAGTGAAACTTGGAGCTTTTTATTTAGTCTGGTGGCTTTCTTTCTTTTCTTTCTTTTTTTTTTTAAAGATTATTTATTTATTTATTTTTAGAGAGGGAAGGGAGGGAGGGAGAGAGAGAGAAAGAGAGAGAGAGAGACATCAACGTGCAGTTGCTGAGGGCCGTGGCCTGCAGCCCAGGCATGTGCCCTGACTGGGAATCGAACCTGTGATGCTTTGGTTCGCAGCCCATGCTCAATCCACTGAGCTACGCCAGCCAGGGCTAGTCTGGTGGCTTTCAAACTCTTCTTCTCACCCTGTCTCTGTGAGTATCAAGAAATGTCTAATCCCTTGCACATTTTTATGTTGACAGCTAAAACTCTTTTAAGTTTAAACATTTGTAAATGATCGAATTTGGGGGATATTATGATGATCGACATTTAAAGTTAAGCTTTTGTTCTTTTTAATATAATAATAAAATATTTACCATAACTATTTCATATCCATTATTATCCACTTTAAAAAAAATACATGACAGACTTTCCCTTAGAAGTCAGAAATCTTACATCTGATTGTTTTTCTTGAGGAGAAATCATTTCTACCCTGACAGTTTTAGGGAAGGTGGTCATTTGCTTATTTAGCACCCAGAAATTAATTCCTTTAAAGTAACTGTGTCTTAAAACTGTTTGTGCTTTCATGAAAACTTTTAAGATGTTCCCATTTCAAGGGAGTTACTTATTTTGAAAACCACTGATTTCATCCAACATGTTTTGTATAATTTCTCAACAATATTCTTTTGTATTTTGTATTTTCCTGCAAGGAAAGTGAACATAAATGCTTTTCTCTGGAATTTTCCCATACCTGAATGTAAGTGTGTACACATAAATATAGGAACATCATAAACTTATGAATGGGTGACCAATTGCACCCAAGCCGTTGGTTGGTTGCTAGGCAGATTGGTTTCTGCTGCATTGTCTGCGTTACCTAGGCTAGCACTGTTATCATCCCTTTTCTTAACCACGTTTATCTTCTTATGAAATTCTGATATTCTTTCACTTCCTTCCATATGTCTGTTCTTCCATATGTTAATTTCATCTGGAAATTATAGCTACTATGGCTAGAAAAAGAAGAAACAGGTTAGGAGAAAGGGGGAAATTAAAATGCTGTGGCAAAGTGGAAATAGAGATTTTTCAAAGAAGCCTAGGGAATAGATGAAAGAATCAAAGGGTCTTAGTACTGCCTGTCCAGGGGCCCTAACGCCTGTCTCCAGCTGAGGGAAAGCATGAGCTGAGCTCAACTCCGGGGGGAGGTGGGGGGCGGCTTTTGCATGGTGCCCCTCAGCTCTCCCCAGCAAAGCAAATAAAACACACCCAGACATTTTAAATATTTAAGTGTTGTGGGACCAAATGTGTTCTTGGAGCATTTTGGGTAAAAGACTAGATGTGGTAATGCTTCTTAGCAAATTATATTTATAATTATTTCACTGAATCAAAAGAGAGAGAGATTCTAAGAGACTTGTAGCAAGCAAGAAATAGTATATAAAAATGAATGCTCTAGTTAGTACCTATTAGAACCAGTCTAAAATGTGTAAAAATGGCCTTGATAGTTTTCTTATGTATTATGGTTGTCCTATTTGATTTGAATAATTATAAAATATTATAAAGGTCATCATAGTTTTCTTTTAACTTCCCTTCTATTACACGGCGTTTTGTTTGTTTTGTTTTATTCATTAAAGATCTTAGATTACTTAGTGGTAAATTTGCCTCCCACAGGTATTTTTCAAAGCCTTTCTTACTTGAATTTAAATGTTTCTATTAAATTGATAACTCTTGGTTTGAATCTTGCCCTCCTGATCAGAAACCGACGTCTAAAGGTCGGCCCGTCTTACCCAGGCTCCTTCCCATCGGCTCCGGGCGAACTGGACCAGGCGCAGTGCCAGCCTGCTGGAAGCAGCTGCGTGCGGTGTCCTGCTGCTGGTTCACGGGGCGTGTGGGATGCCTCGGTGCCGTTCAACACGTAGTCTTTACGGCACCCTGTTGAATGAGCTAACAATTGCTATCCTCATTTTGAGATAAGACCATTAAGTTACAAGATTTGACGGGCTTTAATTGCTGATGCAGCTAGAGGTGTAGACAATGGATTCTGACTGCCGGGCGCAGCCGGGCTGTGAAAACTCTGCGCCCCGGCAGATCCGCCCTGACCCGGGAGGAGGGTGACGTCGGCGCTGGATTCGAGTCACCTTTAGTGTTAGAACACGCTTTGTGCGTAGACTGGAGTAGATGGGAATCTTTCCTGGGCATATTGCACTTTACGTAAAGTGTCGACATCGCACATCGAGGGCAACGCTGGAGGCCTCTGGCCGTGAAGAGGCCTAGACTGGACTCTCTTACTTTGTACCCTGGGTCACCGAAGGTCCCCTTGGGTCACAGTTTCCTCTCGCTCAAAATTAAAGGCCAGAACCATTCTCTTTCTAAAGCCCTTTTGTCCAGTTAGCCTCTCCGCTTCTGCAGGGAACCGAAAAGCGTCCCGGGGAATTCCCCTCCTTCTAACCCCCTCCTGTGCTCCCCTGCAGAGGGGCGGGCGCGCCCTTGTTTCGCGCCAGCCCGACTTCAGCAGCGGTTCCTCCGTGTTATTCGGGTGCACAGAACAAGGCCCTCGTAGACGGGGTCAGGGCATTATTTACAACATTGCCTCTCAGAGAGAGCCTTCGGTTCGTCCGCTCCCCCGTCTCTTCTGCCCCGTCTGTAATTGCGGAGTTATGCCGGCACATCTGTAGTAAATCCCGTCTTGATCTCTCATTAGCTTTTTGACTTTGGGCACGTGTCATAAGTCATTTCCCCGGGCAGCAGACTCCGAGACAGATTTGGATGCAGGCGGATTCCGGGATCAATACCGGCAGGGAGTGGAAGAAGCAGGACTGGGGGGGGGGGGGGGGGAGTCGAGCTGCATTTCAGTCGCCCAGAAGCTTCCATCTCAGGGAACTCTGGAGCTGGCGCGGCCCTTCAGACTTGTCCTGAATCAGGGCCCAGGACTTGGCCTTTCTGCCCTCCCGTCAGTCAGCCCCTGGAGTCCGGTCACTGGTGCCCTGCGAAGGGGTGGTACCGGAGGCAGGCAGCTGTCTTCCACGGGAGGCAGGTCCCACAGAGGGACTCGGGGAGATTTAGCCGCCACGCACACCCCCGGAGCGGAGCGTGGGAGGGAGTTCCTCGGTGGTGGAGGGGAGGAGACAGGCAGCTCTACGGATTCTACTCAGCATGTGGCTGGTTTACATCCGCAACGGATGTTGCTCCTCCTGATAACGGAAAGGGAAAGGGGGACCACTATCCACTTAACATGCTTTTTATTCCAGCGTCATACACATCTCTTTTACCCTGCAAGGCAGGTATTTTACCCAGCACCTAGCACCCTGATGGGCACAGTAATATCCAGTTACCGCTGCACACTTTACCTGCATTATCTTATGTCATCTTCTAACCCTAATCAATGCCAGTCCCACCTCCATTTCAGGTGAGAAAACCGAAGCTTTGCCCCGTACTCACTAGAGCTTTGTGAAGTTGGATTAACTTAGGCAGTAAATTGAGGGCGCAGGTTAAGTGTTTTTAAGGTCATACTGCTAAAGAGTATCAAGCCTGGACTTGAA